CCTTCTTCCTCTCTTTCCTTCTTCCGTTTGTCCGTACGTCGTACGTGCGTGCGTGCGTGCTTGCGTGCGTACTTAGGTCCGTGCGTGGGTGCGTATTCACTCACAGACTCGCATAAGTTAGCTCCACGACTGGTAGGAGTCCTGGTACCACTCGTGATCGTCGCTGGAAACACCGCCGAGCGTGGCGGTCCTACCTCCGAATCCTATGTCACCGCCGCCACCACCACCACTGCCACCGTTCACACTCGCCAGTCCGTACGCATTGCCCAGTGGTTGTTGGGCGAGGGGTTGGTTTCCCCAGTTGCTCTGGAAGCGACGCTTAGATTCCCCCTGGTTCTGGTGACCCCCGTCAAATTTTCGTTTACCTGCTGTACAAACAAACGAATCACTGTTACCCGGAATTCCGATCGCTTTTCCTTTCACTTTCTGCCTCTGCCGTCGCAAAGAACATCTTCCCCATGCTCTCGTCCATTCGCTCGCTCTCTCCCTCTCTCTTGCACTCAGCTGTTACTCATTATCGTCGTTCACGTCTGTTTGCGTGTAAACGGCAATCGTTAGCTACTGAGTCAGTCCTTCGGTTCAATCGTTCTTACGAGACTACACTGGCGCGACACGAACGAACACGAGATCAATGTTTAACAATTCACAGCTGTGCTGTTGTTCGCTTGACCAGATGAACCAGGAGTGCGAGGGAAGATGATCGACATCTGGATTCGAGGAAGACCAGGAACGAACGACTCGGCATTGGACGAACGGAGTGGACAAGGGACGTGGAAGATACAAGGAACGAAGTGCACAGGATGGAATTCATCGATGCGAAACAAGTAAACCGCAGCACAGTCGTCACAGGAAGGAGTCTCGACCGACGCAACGACGCGAAAGAAAAATCGACCGAGGACTCAAATGAAAAGGCGAGGTGTAATATGAGAAAAGCTTGACTCGAAACGAAACCAAAAAGCTCGTAGGCAAATAAAATTTTTAACAGGAGCAGTTGAAAAATGATAGACGGAACAGAAAAAGGGTGATGAGATGAGAAGAAATGAAACGAGGAAGAAAGTAAAAGAGTAATGCAAAAAAGATTCATTGTGGAGATACAGACCATCCTCACCTGGTAAACTTCCCTTGGCGCGGACCCCCCCACGAGCGGACAGCCGCTGGACCCCACGAGCCCCTGAAGTTGCGGGGTTGCGTCCCCCCCTGACTGGCCCACGGACTTGGGGCCCACCGACCCGGCCACGCGGCGCTACTCCACGGCCACGTCCAGCCTGACCAAATAACACACACCCAATCGTTTAACCCATGTGACATATACATTGCTCTCCTACAAGTTCATAGTTGATAGTCGATAGTCGATAGTTGGCCTACACGATACTTCTACGTCTTATCTCTAGATGTTTTCTTTTCATACGCGAATTTATGCGACGGTCATTTTTATCCTTTCTTTTCCAACCGGCACGAGCAACGGGAGTTAACACCCTACGCGTTTCCGATACCTGTACATCGTCAGTCTGGTTCTGCGTTAAACCACCTAAACATCTAAGGTATGGACCTAACAGATGAACGAACGATAGCCGGTCACGCGAATCGGGCGAATCGGTTCGTCCGACGATCAATTATTTCGGATTTTAGATTCGGGAACGGTGGTCATCGTCTCGTTCCATGTATATCATCTATATATGTACATCTTGCGGCTACCGAAAATACATGTACTGTTCATGCACATATTATGTACAAAAAGGTGCACGAACACAGATCGAACCAAGGTATGTACGTACAGAAATTTCAGACGCGTATGCACGCACACGCATGTTCATCTACAGCGAGCAGCTCCAATTCCTTCGAGCGAGCGAAAACGCGCAAGGAACGAATCGGAGCAACCGAATCTTCGTATGCGTGGACACGAAACATCTATATATGTACATGTTCGTACATGCAAACGGTATTTAGAATGCAAAACGATACGATGCGCGCGTATGTGCAGATGTACAGACGTCTCTGTTGAATGATCACAAGTGGACGAGGACGGTGGTGGCGTATGTACAATCTAAAAAGGGCACTTGGGATTCGAGTACTGATCGCAAATATAACATATGTACATGTGTGTACAGAAGAGGTCGGTGAGATATACATATAGTACACAGGGCGATGCAGCGGGAAGAAGGGCTCACTTAAAACCAACTTTTTACCAATATTTTGTACAGACAACAGCAGTGGTAGCAGAATCTCCGAATGAGACCAAGCGGGAAGCGCTTGTTCGTCGTTCAGGGATTAATCGCAGGGAAAGCTTTAAGCGTAACAATCTACTGCACTGTCAGCTAGAACAAAATTCAACAGGATAAATATCAATTGTATGTATATGCGGGGGGTGAACATTGCAAAGCGGGGTAGTTTTTAAGCATAAGCGGAATATTATACATCGCAGCAGGCAGCTATCAAATTTTCATCGTCAACAAATTAATGGCGGACGCCGTTCGACAGAGATCAACGTCGTTTCATCGAAATCTCTCCCTCTCTTGTCTCATCGAAATCTGTCTCTTTCGATCGATCTCTTCTCGTTTCCGTCCTATCCTATCGGAATGCAATTTAACATGTTATTAGACACATGCACAGGCAAAGCACCCATACACGTTCTTTCGTTTCACATGCTATGTTATCAGTATCTCTCTCGCTCTTCCACTCACTCTCTCTCTCTCTCTCTCTCTCTCTCTCTCTCTCTCTCTCTCCTNAGGGGCAGATTCTCGGTGGCTCCCGTCCTCAACCTGGCATCTCTGGGCGCGATTATAATCGCTCCATACGGCAACGCTGATCCAAGCGGTCTCCAGCCGACTGACGTCTGTTTGAACTCTTGATTCCCGTCCTTCTTCGCATTATAAGTTAATGTTATTAAAAAAAAAATTTTTCATTGCGGAAAAACATGTTTTATCATCTTCTGATCACATGCGACCGCATGAGAAAATGAAATATTTTCATGTCTCATACAATTGTTAATCTTATACACTCTTATGTCAATCTTACAACTAAATTGAA